CCACTATAAACTACATCTTTGAAAAACTGCCATCTACTCGTAGTATCCAGGCCATTATTGCTAAACGACGGAAAAACACCAAGGGTATCTGCATCGGTTGTATAGCAATGCAGGTACCCTTAGCCATATCGTTCATAATATCAAAGCCCATGTACTCATCTTCCGTAACCTTGTCCATGCCCGCCAGCACCCTATCATATTTAGATCGATACGAAACCCTCAATTCGTTACTTGGGTCCGTAAAATGTATCTTCTGAGAAAATCCATTGGACATGAATATTAGCATTAATAAAGCAGTAAATAGAGATATTTTCATAGGGTATGTTTCATATTAAAAATAAGTGCCAATAAATTGTGAAGTCAATTGAGGATGTTTTTTGTCAGTATAATGACAAAACTTTTTCAATTTGTTGACCAGGGAGAGATTTTATGAATAACTTTAAATGGCGTATTCTCGCATTAATCTAAATATGCCACTGTATCCTATGACCCCAAAATCCTACGCTCTATTGCTTATTACCCTTTTTATGTGCAGCTATTCGTTCGCACAATGGCAATATTTAGGTGCACCGCCCTTCACATTACCTAACATCGGCCATGCGAATATGGCAATCAGCCCCATAACAGGCGAGCCTTATGTCGTGTTTACTGTAAGTTACTATAATGACAAAGCCTGGGTTAAAAAATTCGATGGTACCGCTTGGGTAGATGTAGGCTTGCCGAATTTTTCGCCAGGTAGGGCATACTATCCATCAATTGCAATTAACCCCATAACAGGCGAACCTTATGTAAGTTTTATTAATCAAGATACTTTTCAGAAAGTGAAAGTAATGAGGTATGATGGCACTTCGTGGGTTAATGTTGGCAGCGGCTACAGTTTTGGCACGGCACCGGTATCTGTTTCTCACATCTGTTTTAATAACCTGACAGGCGAACCTTATGTCGGTTGTTCGGAATCGAATGGTGTACATGCTTATCGTTTTAATGGAACAAGTTGGATAGCTGTTGGTGCTATTGCCAGCGGGACTACGCCGCCAACTTATTTGAAAATGGCGATGAGTCCGACGACGAACGAACCTTACTTTATATTTGAAGACCAGAATGATAGCGGTAAAATAGTGGTTACCCGATTTAATGGAACTTCATGGGTGCAGGTAGGGAGTAAGATGCCAGACATTAATGCAACCTATGCAGATATTTCATTTGACAAATCCAATGGGCAAGTATATATAGCCTACAATCACATGCCGGTACCCGCCGTTGTAAGAACTTATTGCAGGACATTCGACGGTACAAACTGGAATCTCATCGGTTACCCCTTTCTTGGCGGCGGTGGTCCTGGTTTATCATTAGCAGTACAACCAAATACGCATCAGCCGCATATCGCCTACCCAGATAGCCGCCTTAAAGTCTTGAAATACGATAATTACAATTGGGTTAGGGTTGGGTTAGACGTTCCGGGTTCTTTTTTATTCACCAACCGCCTTAATCTCGCTTTTCATCCCACAACTAGTGAGCCTTATCTTATGGGATGGGGCACCTATTGTAATGCCTGGAAATTTACAAATTGCCAGATTACACCCACAACAAATAATATAACTGCTTGCACGCGTTACACCAGGTCTGAAAATCGGGGTTATTATACAGTAAGCGGTACTTACACAGATACACTTAGAAGTGCT